CAGACAGAATGTAAGTGTTTGTTCTATGGTAATGGACAGACAGTTTTATTAGCACTTGGCCGCCACATATTACAGCTTATCTACAACATGAGGACCACATCACACTTTTAGAAATGACTCATTACTGAACTGTTTTTCTCTCTAACATCTCTGAAAAATCCATCATCTGAGCTTTTTAGTACAAATCAAACAATTTAGCGACGAAGATGCAACTCAGCTTAAATAAGGGAGCTTTTAAAAAGAACAGCTGTGACATTATGACAGGAAATGGATCCTGCTTGTTTACTAATGTATATGGGACTTTTTATCCATATGGCATATGGTAATTTTACATTTTAAAACACTTTCCCACATGGGGTTTTGTGTTGAAGGACAAGTTGATGTTCATAAATATTGTTTTGATTATTATATTATATTATATTATATTATATATTAAGTATGATTTCTGAAATAAATGAACATGTAATTAAGAGAAATTTGTAATATAATATAATATAATATAATATCCAGAGTGTTTCCCTGCCTTTGGCCTGAGATAGGCTCCAGCATTCTCATAACCCTAGCGGTTTGGAGGATAATATAATAATCAAAACAATGTTTCTGAATGTCAACTATCACTTCCGGTTATTATATTATATTATATTATATTATATTATATTAGTTTCACTACCTCTTGCAGTTATTTTTAATTTAATATAGCAAGAAATGGAAGGTAAAAACTGAAAAAAATTGACATTTACTATGTTTCTAAATGAAGTTAAAATTTAATTAACAGACATTTGTAATACAATATAATATAATACAATATATTGTGTTATGTTGTTATATGTTATATCATATCATATCCAGGGTATTTCCCTGCTTTGACCTGAGACGCTAGGATAGGCTACAGCAATCCCACAATTCCCACAAAGTTGTTTTGGAGCATGTATAGTATAATATAATATAAAATAATAATTAAAGCAATATTTATGAATGTCAGCTTTTACTTGTAAGCTTATGATAGCTTAATGTGCCATGGATGTCCTTCAACACAAAATCTCATATATTATTTATATACCAATTTTGTCTGTTAATGAAATTGTAATTGAATTCAGGAAACAAACTATTTCTTTCTTTTTGATGGAAAAACTTTTCGCTTAATATTTTTCCTGTTATCATTCCTTGTATTGACCACAGACACATGTTATTTTGTCAGTAGAGATCATACTGTTAATCATCTCATGGGGCACATCAGCCATAAAACCATAATGGCTGGGATTATAGCCATATTGCTCATTTGCACTACTCCTTCTCATAGACCAACTAGGTTTAAGGGAACAGAATTTGATGGTCACATCAGCAGATAGTGGACATCTGTTTTGCTCGGGGAGCAGCGTTGGTCTTTATGTGACTAGATTATCCATTCATTAAGGAGAATATCATTGCAGTGAGACCATTAAACTGGAGATGTTAAGAGACAACAGCTTGTCCCTAAGGATGTAATTCCATTCCAGATTGGGGCAGTAAAGCACCTAAATACCTGCTGCCCTTTGTTTTCCGATTAAAGTTGTTTGACTTGAGGGGATCGAGTAAGTGTTGGGTGGGGTTTGGACAGACTGGAATGGTCCAACATGCCGCCATAAATTGGGGTCACGTCCCATGAGCTAATCAGACGTTCGCCAGATCCGAGAGAGGTTGGCACTTGGCAGAAGATAGAGCGGACCTTAGAGAGACAGAACAGGAGGAGCACGCTCACTGAAGCCACTATGACAAGTTTTCATTCACCTGCACTACTGCTGCCTGTCCTGCTGCTGTGGGCTGCGTGTAGTGTGTCAGACGTGCAGGCTGATGTGAGGACAGTCAAGCTATGCGGCCGAGAGTTCATCCGTGCCATCGTCTACACGTGTGGGGGCTCCAGGTGGAGGAGGTTCAGCAGTCCGCAGGACATGGAAGGTGAGTTTTCCATAGCAGAGATTCATGCTAATTCTGAAAACATCATCATGTGCCTTAAATGCTGGTGTCAGTGTTGGGCTTTAGAACAAATCTAGTTAGTTTATATATGAAAAAGACTTTTTTTCCCTATGCAAATGTATTAAATTAAACCTCTTTCTATATAAAATTAATAGTAGTTAATTATCTGTTTCAATCATGTAAATGCAATCATTAGAAATATTCCACAAATGTACAAAAAGATGATCTAAAATTGTTCTAAAATAATAATTGTTATATGTAAATAAGGATTTTATTACTAATATAATATTTCTTCTATCAACAGCCTCTGTCACCCTTTGGAAATTCTCTTAGTTTTAACTGAATCCAGATTAATAATTAAATGAGTGTAAAATAATTTAAAGAACTGGCAATTAAGATTATATAAGAAAAAGGGAGATGGAAGGTATTTTTAAAAATATTATTAAATATTTAAAAAATAGTCAATATTTGGTGATGTTGTACCATATTTATATATATTTAAAATATTTATTAATATATAAACATAAAAAAAATACATTTTAGTATGTATATATTTAAATGTGTCAAATATACAGTAAAACAATGAAAAAAATACATTCTAGTTTGTACAATATAGAAAACTAGAATGTATTTTTTTCTATATTTCTATGTACTGCTTATTTGGCATTTATATTTTCTCTAAAACTGTTCTATAAGTTGCTAAGAAAAAAGTTTCTGCAAATGACCTACGATTGTAGGAGTATCTAAGCATCTCTTCTTCTTTCTTACCCTTCAAGTCTGATGATATTTAACAGAGCACTGCTTTAATTGTATCAGTGAGATCAAGTCTTCTCCAGTCAACAGATAAACAACGTCTGGTGATATTACATTCCCATTAGACTGACACAAGCTGAGTTAATGCAGAAAACTCCTGTGTCATTTTCACAATGCAGCAAACATGCTCTCCTGTCTCTCAAGTCTGAGTAAATTCAGAAGTTTCCAACATAACTTTGTATTTTGTGTTTGTCATTGCACAGGGTTTTTAAAAGGAGATCTAAGCAGTTCTGAGGATCTTAGTGAGAGTCTGGGATCTGTCCTGACCAGGCGAGACCTGAATAACGTTTGTTGTCAGTTTGGCTGCAAGAAAAGTGACCTCACGTTGCTCTGCTGAGAACTGAACCTGTGTTTTTCTATTTGTCTCACTATATGTTTTCTTCCACATTGAGTCCAGATGAATATGAACACCTCTATAAGTGTACTCTAAGTGTACAGTCAGTTGTGATTCATATAACGGCTTAATTTGCCAGTAGATGATACTAATTTATGTAAAAAGCATGTCTAATTTGGGATTAGATCATTCTGCTTCACTTGTACTCTAAGATGCACCATGAAAAGTGGTTTAATATCAAGTTACCAACAGCAGTGAAATCGCATAATGAGGTGCACAGCAGTAATCTTGCATTTAAAGTGTTTAATTGTAACTTGTATTTTGCAAACTTTGTCAATAAACATTATTGCATATGCATGCATCAAAGGTGTTTATTTCCCCCCAACAAACCTGAAAATCACCAGTATGATTTCACAATATTTTATTGTCCGACTCAATAAGTTTTTGGTGGTTAAACCAATTTGGACCTAGCTGAGTATTGATATGAAACTATATTAAAATGTTCTGTATTAAATTAAATTATTAATTAAATATGATATTATTACATTTCAGGCATAATATTTTACAGTAATATTAGTTGATCAATTTTAAACATAACACAATACATCCACTTATCAGGCTTATATGTTTTATTGTTTTGGAAAGAGCAAAGTAATCTCAGTATCTCAGATCTTTGTTAACATTTTTTGTACAAACACAACTTGCACATGTTGCTGGGAAGAGATGATTTACACTTACCAGACAACACACACACACACACACACACACAAACTCTTCCTCCTACACATACACAACTTCACACATACACAACTTCACACACACACACACACACACAAACGCAATTCAACATTCACACACAGCTCCACCTACATCTAAACTGACATGAGTTTTCTCATTTCTTTTGCGCATCTGAGTGACGTTTCACTTTAGACCATGTAGACATACTGATTAAGCATTACACACAATTGAATTCATAGGTTTTTTTCTTTCAGCTGACAGACTCAAATTGTTCTTCGATTGAACTCTGCAATAAAAACCCTATAGTTACAGTGCTCAGAAAATATGCAATGCAGTGTTAACGGATGGCGGCGCTCATCCTTAACCTTAAATGTGGATGGAAACCTATGAATCACAAAGCACCAGTATATTCTTCTCCAAACCATCACAACGTCTACATCAGACACTCAAAGATGTAACCAAAATGTTTGTTCTTGACATTGAACATCAGAGCATCTGGGAAGTTAAACAGTAACACAGTGTTTTTTTCCTTTTAATTTTTTTTCCACAAGAAACGATATTTTTCACTTTATTCATAGGTTTAAACATTTAAAAAATATGCAGCTTATTTTCTCTTAAAGGACAATTCTTGAGATACACATACAAATGAAAAGAAAAGAAAAAGCGATTTGGTCATTTAACCACTCGAGAACCTTGTCATCTCACAGAGACCGTTACCATTTGCAAAATAAAGATGTTCTGAAGCGCAGGGGCTCATGCTCAGGACACTCAATAACATGTGCTGCGGGGGAGAGGCTGGATACAAACACATCTGCGTGAATGATAAAAGAATTTACAATGTCCAAAAGCTGACAATCCATGTTGAACTAATAGTGCTGCTATACATAACACTGTAATAACATCAAGCATGACGCATCTAGGTAGATACAGTATCCTGTTTCATTTTCTCTTTTAAATGTCACCCCCCGACCCAATATAGCATACATTTTCTGTTGCACTTGAGTTAAAAAAATTATATCTGAAATAAATTTAAAAATTATACCTCGGCATTATACTGTACACAGCTTACCCAACTACACAGATAACAAAAAGTCAAAAACTTCAAGGATCCTAAATTATGATACCATTCAAAGTCTATTCCTATACAGTGTAACTTGTTTCGTTTTTTTTATACAACAAATCATGAATAAATAAAAATAGAATGATGTCATGTAGCTACTTTTATGTCTAACACTGTTCCTTCTAGAACAACAGAAAGGCTATTTAACAATACAAGAAAACACCAAACGGCCTTCAAGATATATATTTTCAATTTAAAATGACTTTTCTGTTGAGGAAAATCATTTTTTTGTGAGTCTATTGCAAGCAGGAGATTTTTAAAGCTGCGGCTGTCTAAAAACAGATTTGACAAAATATAATTTCTATCATTTTCCATTTAATGAACCTGTGTAAATTAAAATGAGATATTCCTGAATACGTTTTCATAACTAAATAAGCTTGAGCAATACCAAAATCCGATGCAGACCTCATACTACATGCAACAGTATAGCGCCATCTTGTGGCAGAGGCTCATTCCTCTTTTGTTCATTGTACTATTTTGCTACCTTGTTCGAAAATTTGATACTTTTGACAAACTGAATGCATAGAGTAATAAAAACATCACATGTTCAGTATCATTTTTAGAGAAGGATACAGAGAATTCAGGTTCACGTAGGCACAGCCAATAACACGTCGAACAGAAATAGAGGCTTAACCTTACGAACAAACCCAGGTCGTTTAACTGCCTTAATACAGATGTTGCAAAGTGAATACAGTTCACAATTATAAGAAGTACACCCTAAAACGGTCCACATTTTACAATGCAATTTTACAATAATACTTCTGGAGTGTGTGTGTGAGGTCCACCTGTATTGTACATCTACAAAGGTCAGGTTGGGGTCATGTCCTGTGTTTTAAATATTCAGAATTGGTCCAAAATATGCAGACTTGCATGGCGTTGTTTAGTTGTCTGCCATGTATTTTCCTATGATAAAAGCACACACAGCGTAACTTATTTTCACAATGCCTTGATAATCTCAAATTCTGACTCTCCAGAAGATTCCTACTAAATTAATGATCAAAACAGATGTCGCTTGCATAACTCACCTGCTGCAAACCTCTTCTTGATGAGGGAAAAACGATATCCAAGGCCAACCAGCTCAATGTCACAGCCTGACAGAGTGCTGCCCTCACTGGTGAACTGCACTGCCACCGGGGCGGGTTTACTGGGACCCTCAGTCAGTTGGAAACGGGCCAGCAGAGATCCCACACCTGAAGATATAAAAAAAGAGTGGATGAAAAAAAGAGAAGCAATCAATTTATCATTATGTATAATAGATAGTTTAGACCGTTCAAAAGTTTGGAGTCAAACTTTTGACATTTATGTTACAAAATGTTTCAAATAAATGCTGTTCTTTTGGAATTTCTATTCATCAAAGAATCCTGAAAAAATTCCAAAATATTAAGCAGCATAATAAAAAGATTTCTGATGGATCATGTGATCATGGATCTGGAGTATTGGCTGTTGAAAATTCAGTTTTGCCATCAAACATTTTCAAATATATTATGATAGAATACAATAATTTTTTGTGCCGTCAAACGATTAATCGCGATTAATCGCATCCAAAATAAAAGTTTTTGTTTACATAATATATGTGTGTGTACTGTGTATATTTATGATGTATATATAAAGACACGCACATACAGCATATATTGAGAAAATATTTATTTTATTTATATTCATATAAATTATATCATATATAAATATATTTAATATATATAAACGTAACATATTTTTCTTAAATATATACATACATGTGTGTGTATTTATATATACATAATAAACATACATAGTACACACACATATATTATGCACACAAAAACGTTTTATTTTGGATGCGATTAATCGTGATTCATCGCGATTAATCGTTTGACAGCACTATTTATTTTATATTGTAATAACATGTTTTACAATATTAAAAATATTACTGTTTTTACTCTATTTTACTTTCTATTTTTGATCACATAAATGAAGCCTTGCAGAGCATAAGAGACTTCTTTTAAAGACTAAGTAAAAAAAATCTTACAGATCCCAAACTTTTGAACAATAGTGTATATATACACAAGAATGAACCAGGAATCTGACCTCCATTCTCAGACTTCTGAGAAATATCTGGAATCTTCCATAAGATTCTCTGCTGTTCCGCATTCCTATAAACATAGCAATAAAATATATTATATTATCTAGAAAGAAAGAAAATAATGCTGTTGATCTGTCAAAATGCTCTTCCTCCACATCTAGTACAAGTCATAGTATCATTTTTTCAAACTCGCAATCTAGTACAATCACAATGCTTTATTTTCACAATGACACTTATATTTTTGAAGACTAGTAGTAAATTAATAGAAGAATCCAGTCCATCTCTCACCAGGCAGCTGGAGGAAGCACAGCCTGCAGTTTGCTGACGCCTCCGTCCACAGGGATGAGGAACTGAACATTGTTGAGGGCGACAGGAGTGGTCATGGCACCCCCGTTGTATTTGTAGTCTATCCTCAGATCAGTACTGGTGGGCTCACACCTCCAGCTCACTGCTAGATTTAGAGGAGTGGACTGTAGACCCTTCTGTAACACCTGAGGCAAATTTGGTAATGAAGTGTTAATGACATAGCTTCATTCTTGTAAAAACAAAATGGTATGAAATAGTAAACGTTAATTTTATTATTAGTTTGTTTTAAATGACATTTTTTATTTAGTCAAATTAACAATTTCAGAACTTTACTAGGTCACTACTTGATGTCCAAGGTCAAATCTGGGTCCCGAAGCAAAACCAATTGAGAACCACTTACGTAAGATATGAAGTAAATACCAGTTCTAGATTTTCTAAAATCCAATGACTTCAAGTACTCTTATGCAGGGTGCGAACTACGGGGGAGCTCGGCTCCCCTTAATAAGACATGGGCTCCCCTGAAAACGGGATTTGTGAAATTTTGGGGGGTCTCAAAAAATATTGACAATGTGTTATTTTGACGTGCAATTTCAGTTTTGTGTAATGTGATCATCGTGGATTATTATGTGTAAAATTGCAAAAATATCATTCATCATCATTCATGCATGCCGGCGATTTAAACCTAATTCACTTCAATAAAGATAACTATACATGATATTCTTGTCATGAGCATCGCGGTGTGGGGGCGCTGCGGTGCAAATTCCACTATGTTTAGTACATGTTAACTCAAAGATTCATAGAAAAAATATAAACGCTGGACTCTGAGTTAACATGTACTAAACATGAGTGGAATTTGCACCGCAGCGC